GATTGGTACTGTGGGCTAGATAGATATAACAGTGATAACTACGCAGTGACTGATCAGTGTAAAACGACGCTACCTTATCCTATAGACTGATAGAACTAAATATCACAACATGATTTTATTGGAAATGAAGAATACGATTGTGAGAGTTAATCGTTCATTAAATATCAAGTAAAAGATAGGGAGTAATCATTTCAATGTCACTGTGGTCAAAGATAACTACCAACCACATTCAATAATGATCGTGGATTGTTGAAGTTAAACAGTTGGAATCCGGCTCAGTGAACTGGAGGTGAAGTGTTCGCACACAAGACAGAGTGTCCAGGGTTCGAATCCCATGTGTAGGATAGTGACTACACGCTGCTGAAGAGTCCAACACTAGGAAAAAACGACCTTCCACTGCTTGTACGATTTCAATGATGGTCTAACGTTGATCGGTTCATGGTCTCAATTTTAATAACCCTTTTTCTATTTTATTTGAAATGGTTGCAATATCCCTATGTTTTTTAATGTGTCCTAATGCTTTGTAAAAATAAATCTTTTCTTTCTGAGATTAATTACAATTCAACAGTATTGTTCTTCAGAACATTATACACCATGCGTATACAATTTCAAAATTATCTCTAAAGCATGATTTTTGAAAAAAATTCATCCAATTAATGTTGCCGTTCATCACTTAACATGTTCCTTTCATGATGGTTTGTTAACCATCTTCATCTGTGAGTGAGTGAGTGCGTCACTGCATATACAAGTCGTGGTAAGTGTGTCAATTTTTTTCAATGAAAAAGAATAATTATTACCAGAAGAGGATTTGGGAGAGACTTTGGTAATTTAACAGTTGAATTCATGAGTTCGGCATTAACACCGTTAGGTGGTGGTCTAGAAGTTAAGCGTTCGTACGCAAGACCGTTAGGCCCTCGGTTCGAAACCTGCTGGCAGGATCGTGAATGCGCACCACTGAAGAGTCCCATATTAGGATGAAACATTCGTCGAGTGCTTCCACACTTTCCATGGTGATCCTACTTCAATTGACTCATGAATTCAACCATTAAATATTTAAAAAAAAGGAATAACTTTATCATTCATAGAAAAAATAAACACAATAACCGCCGAAAAAAGAAAGAAAGAAATTCAGTTGTATTAAACACTTGTTAGTCTTTTTTTCTATAAATAGGCTGAATAATACGGATTAAAACAATCATAATGTAGGTTGACTAATAGAACAAACAAATTCGATAGATAATTCAATTTTTCTCTCTGTTTTTTTTTCTCTTTTTCATTTCATGTTATCTAAATTTTAGTCATTTTGAATGTGTAGTATCCAACTGATACATAAACATGGTTGTATTTTTCTTATTGTTACTTACTTATATGTATCCAATGATAGAGATAAGCAACATAGAGATAAGTAATAAGGTCTAATTTAAACAATGTGGATTTCTTTTTCAAATGTATACAAAGTCAACAAAATGTTATACACGTATGGGTTATATAGATAATATATGAGAATAGAAAATGTTTGTTGTTTATCTATTCTGTGTAAATAAACATTGAAAAATTGAACTATATAAGACTATAGTATCAAAGTTCCTTGTAATTACGCTATAAATTTTGAAAGTATCCGACATAGTTCAATAAAAACTTACAATTAGTTGTGTATTAAGGTTGTTAGTCATAACATGTGTAGCTCTGAGTTGCTTAGCCTATTAGCTACAATTATTATTATTATTATTATTATTATTATTATTAGCTTTATTCAATATTATATTTTTGGTACAATATAGAATTCTCAGCGTAAAGTATTTCAACAAGTTTCCGTTTCTTTCTTCTTGGTCGGTCCTGGCCATAAATATTGAGTGATCGCCAGTTAGATGTGAGCAGTTCATTAAATGAACGTCTGAATAATGTGCATTCTTTTCGCTGTATATTGCCAGCAACCACATTGGCTCTTATTGAGTTTTTTTGTAACTTTGACAACGAAAGGTTGTACACTTTTCAGAAACGCAGCAGAATAGGTTATGCAATTAATAAACATAATGATATATTAAAACAAACAAAAATCGATAACTTGTTGAAATATCTGGATGGCAGGAACAGGTAGCCCAGATGCTCAAGCAGGCCGCCCTTCATAGCTAATTTCTGCTTGGTACTAAGGACCAGAGGTTATAACATATAGAATCGATTTTGGATTCCAATCGGAAGCGTAAATTTTCGGAAGTTTTCAAAAACATATTATTGACAAGTGACACCTTCACATTTGATTGATCATTGGATGATGATCAATGTCATGTGTGTCAAGTCCTTATTAAGGCAGATCGAATGCTATTGACCAAGTTGCAATGTGGCCACTAGTCTAGGTGACTCGACATTGTGTGTATTATGTTGAAATTAGATGGTGGTTGGAGGTAGTCAACAGGAAACCCTGGACTCGGGTTTCATGCTACTTAGCACTCGTCAGCAACGTGTACCTGTAATCTTGAGGGAACTGACGCCCCCTGACGGATTCGATCCCGTGTTACCCAGCTTCACAGTCAGAGATGTTACTACTGGGTTATCCTGGCCTCGACCAACCTCCTGTAGGACTGAGATGTAATCACAATTGATTGATCACTGGGTGGTGATCAATGTCATGTCCTTCTTAGTGCAGATCGAATGCTGGGCGGCCACTTCACCAATGTGAAGTAGAGGTTTCTATAGTGGTTGGCATGGAAAACACACTATATCTGGATTTGTCTGATTCAGTTTTACATTTAGCCAAACGGTACAAACAGATCAGTACTAAAGTTCAAATTGCGTGATGATAGGAATGTCCCAGTGATCGATTGGTGTAATTAATGCTTTATTTTGCCATTTAAATGTGTAGATCAATCATGACACCTATTAATTTAACTAGTTATTTTACTGTTGACAATATTTTGTACCATATTTTTTGTGAGGCGTTTCGTCGTTTCTGTCATCAGTTTACCTATTTAATAATAAAAAAAATTGAATATTTACTGAAAACCGTCTGTGAAGAAACCGCCTTTAGATTCAACTCTACGCTAGTAACTTTAGAGTACATTTTTGGCCAGTTCGATATCAGTTTATTTTGCCTCACAATGTGGAAAGTGGATTTTGTGGTGTGTGCTACTTATGTCGATAAATATAAGTAGTACGTAACACCAATCAGAAGTGGAATACCTGTCGAAAGGTTGAGAAGACTAGACTAAAAAAACAGAAATGGAAACAGAAAGAAATTGAGAGTTGAAAGAATCATGAAGGATACAAATGATAGTTGATGAAAGATATGCAAATGAAGTATTTAATGTATGGTTTTCACATCTTATGAAAGAACTCTATAATACTTTGGTAAACCATAAATAGATTGTCCGTACCTGATTATTCATTCACTATAACAGTAATACTTTGGAGTATATGCGTAAAGAAATTACACTTTAGTGTGTGGTTTTAATTTCGGTTTCCATGTAGAACGTCTGAAAACACTAGATCCGTACCCTTTAGAATATAAAAAAGTCAGAGGTGACCTCGAAATTACCCATAACATCATGAACATCCTTAGATATTAAAAAAAACCTTCTTTCTTTCGGTATTAATGTGAATCTAAGACGGTATATTTGCAAGTTCAAAGTGTAACATATCAGTTTGAAATGTAGATATATTTCTTAATATTTATGAGTAATCAATCAAGTTTTGGAATTACCTACAGTGTGAAATGGTCTTAGTGACCTGAGAGCGTGAACGCAGTGTCCAAGGGACAACTGCTTGAGGTCGGTCACACACGACGTTTATGTGAGTAATTTTCATGTTAGCTCCATATTTGTTGAGACCTTACCGACAGAGATGGTTATCCGTGGGATAAGGCGAGGTGTGCATTTTTAAGGTTGACCTTTTCTAACCCCACCCTTCCTTGTGGAAAGGCAGCATCAGTGTTATGCTGGTTGTCTGAAGGAAACATCTTACTGCTATCACATCTCTGTACAGTCAGCAGTACGACTTCGCATTCGGACCTTGGGTTTATTGCTTTTAGTCTTACCGCTCCTCAGCTGACCGGTCTGGCATGATAGGACCTTGAGGAATGAGTGTTTCAGCCAGTATAGCTCGATTGGTTCATCACGATAGGCAAGCCCAACCACTACATCAGAGTAGCAGAAACGGTCGGGTGTGAAACGGTCCATGTAACTTTCACTCAGTCCTTTACAAAGAAACCTTATATATTATCAATGATCCAGAATAACATTTTATATTGATTTATTAAAACTACTTTTATTTACCCAAATCCCCACTTTAAGGAATCAGTACCTAATGGATATTAAACACAGAAGCATACTAATCAAAATCTTCTTTTATTCTGTCTAGAAACATCTAAAACCATTTAAGCTTATAAGCATTATAAGCAAAGATGGATAGTGGTTAGCAGTGTAATCCAGATTGCACGTTTCGTCCTATTCAGAACTCGTCAGTTGAATGTATCTGCATCTGAGTTGGTGTTCACTCTGAGACTCGAACCCAGTACGCTTCGCTTCAAACTTCATTGCGTTTTTCATTCGGGAATTAAGGCAATATCGAGGCAATATGCACAGTATCCACATATGCCAATAAGAGACCAATCGATTGCATTCCTAAACATCAATGGGAAGATTCAGTTAAAACAATACCAAGTGCATTTAGGCTGATATTTCCTTTTGAAGTTATGGTAAACATAATCACGTTGATTGAGATCTTGAACCGACTGATATTAGACCACCATTGAAAACCTGGAAGCACTGGACGGCCGTTTCATCCTGGGTTCGAATCCCGCGAGTGGGATCGTGGATGCCCACTACTGAGTCCCACAATAGGACGAAATAGCCGTCCAGTGCTTCCAGGTTTTCAATGGTGGACTAACACCAATCGTTCATGATCTCAATCAAAACTTAATAATCTTCACGACCCCTATACTAATAATCTTATTCTCATTATTATTATTATTATTATTATTATTATTATTATTATTATTATTATTGATGATGATGATGATGATGATGATGATGATGATGATGATGATGATGATGATGATGATGATGATGATGATGATGATGATGATGATGATGATGATGATGATGATGATGATGATGATGATGATGATGATGATGATGATGATGATGATGATGATGATGATGATGATGATGATGATGATGATGATGATGATGATGATGATGATGATGATGATGATGATGATGATGATGATGATGATGATGATGATGATGATGATGATGATGATGATGATGATGATGATGATGATGATGATGATGATGATGATGATGATGATGATGATGATGATGATGATGATGATGATGATGATGATGATGATGATGATGATGATGATGATGATGATGATGATGATGATGATGATGATGATGATGATGATGATGATGATGATGATGATGATGATGATGATGATGATGATGATGATGATGATGATGATGATGATGATGATGATGATGATGATGATGATGATGATGATGATGATGATGATGATGATGATGATGATGATGATGATGATGATGATGATGATGATGATGATGATGATGATGATGATGATGATGATGATGATGATGATGATGATGATGATGATGATGATGATGATGATGATGATGATGATGATGATGATGATGATGATGATGATGATGATGTAATTTCAGTCTACTGATGTAATTTCAATATTTTCAATTATTTAATATTTAAACTAATCTAAATTTCATGTTCAATTCAGGTTAATGAATGTCTATGATTAAACTTTAATTAACATCATTCTAGCGTATTAATCAATCATTTTCATTTAAAGTGGATTCAGTTATTTACATACATTTTATAATAATAACAAACAAACTGAATACACAATATGGATTTAGTAAACATTCTTGTATGTCATTGAATGGTTTTGTGAGTAATATGGTAGATTTAATAGCTGAATTCATTAGTCAATTGAAGTTAAACTACTTTGGAAAACATGAAAACACTGGATGCCCGTTTTGTTCTAGTATGGGACCCCTCAATAGTAAGCACCCCTGATCCCTGCCCCATGGGATTCGAATCCAGGACTTATAGATTTCGCGTCTCGTTAGCGAACGCTTAACCTCTAGACCATTGAGCCAACCGTCATCGAACCATGTTAATTTCTAACTTCAACCAATGGACAAAATTGTACCACATATCCATCACTGTTTTCAGTGAGACCTAGTTGAACTTCACTGGTCACGGCTTCTCACTAGATTTTCAGGAAATACCACTTGAAGCCAGGCTTTCCATGGTGATCTAGCTTCAATTGACACATGAGTTCAATAAGTTAGTTTCTGTTATCATAGGACGAGGTGTACTTTTGAGATTTCACTACTACTTACTTTACTTACTCCTGTTACCCTTCGTCGATGAGCATAGGGAGCTCACTACCATTATCTAACCAACTCTGTCCTCAACAACCCTTTCCAGTTGTTTCCGGTTGCTATTCATTCTTTTGATGTATGCTTCTAATTCCCGACGTAATGTGTTCTTTAGTGGTATGGCAACTCGAACTGATGTACGTACGTATGTACGAAGTTCTACGTTGTTACTGACTGACTGACTTATCTCTTATTCATCTAAGTGGTAGACAAGTAAAACAATATCCCCTTAAAAATGTACAGTTTTTCGATTTGAGGTTTCCTATATTTATCGAGATAAGTTGTATGCTTTTCATAGTATCGGATGAGGATATACAACGAAGATTCATAATTATTCAATTCAAGCAAATCTAAATATTTATTGCATCTGCAAAGAGAAACACACGCCACGGTACAACAGAAGAACTCCAAAGAATTTTAAAACAACACAGAACTAAAGTATACATCCAACTTGGATTATCTATCCAATTTACCATGTCTGATATCATTCACATCTCACACTTTCATCGTACATACAAATTAAACTCTCTCCTTTCGCATCACAAAAGTCACATCTTTTCATCCCTGATCTTGCACACACACACACACACACACCAGTTTTACATACACATCACTTATAAATCACCTTGACCGAAATGACATACGATTGGCTTATTCAGATCTGTTTCTTGATTGATCGCACATAATACTCTTACGTTGTTCTTTTATACAATTTAAACTTGTATTAATTTTGAATTGTTTATTTATTCTCTGAAGAAGTGACTTACACTGAGTTACGAAACGTCGAAAAGTCTAACAATCTACTCATTGAGATAGTACAAATATATTAATTAACATTATTTGCTGAAGAGTCCCATAATAGGAAGAAACAGCTGTCCAGTGCTTTTAGGTTTTCCATAGTGATCTAACTTCAATGGATTCATAATTTCAACTAATAAAATTATTTATATTTATTACAATATCTACACAATTAAGAAATAGGTTAATTAAATGTTTGAACAGGTCACTGTCATGTTGTAAACATGTTACACTTAGATGGTGGTTGGAGGTAGTCAACAGGAAACCCTGAACCCAGGTTTCGTGCTACTTGGCACTCGTCAGCAAGGTGTACCTGTAATCTTGAGGGAACTGGTGCTCTCTGCACTAATAAGGACTAGACAAGCATGACATTGATCACCACCCAGTGATCAATCAATTGTGACATGTTACATTTCTTGAATCAAAATATAGAATAGGAGAAAATCCAGAAAAAGAAAAAAAGAACAATCTTTTTTTATATCTCATTATGCTTTATTCTCTTCTGTGTTTTTTTGTTTGTTTTGTTTTCTCATTTTGTATGAAAATACAGTTAATCTAACTAATAAAATTAGTTGACTATGTCAGAAACAAGTTACAAATATGTATTATATATAGATATACATGGTTATTCTCAGCATGTATTGTCAGTTTTATAGGTCAAACTAGCAGGTGTTTTTCTTTTTTTTTCTTCTTTTGGTGTCCTAATAAAAGAACCATTTATCATTATCACATGTATATTGATGATTTCAGAAAGTAAGGCGCCAAGACGGTAAAATAGAAGAGATTTTTGTATACTAGTTAGGCTCAAAAGAATCGCTCTCTCTCTCTATATATATATATATGATATATATTCCCGTTCATATATATGTGATCATTTGTTAGGGAATAGAAAGAATATTGAATGTATTTTATAGATAGTTTTTATCATTCAATGATTTTATGGAATGAAAAAATCATAATGAAAAATAATATAAGACGTTCAAATGTTTTGAAAATCATACCATTTAGAAAAGGTAACTAATTCCAGAAGGGGTTTTGTGGATATCATAGTAATTTCAATAGTTGAGATCATGAGTCAGTTGAAGCTAGACCATTAAAATTACTATCATATCCACAAAAACCTCTTCTGATATGAATCGACATGCTCACTAGTGACTGAATTCAAGAGGTATTTCCTGGAGTTCTAGTGAGAAGCAGTGAACAGTAGAGTTCAACCAGGTCTGTTGTGAGATAGTAACTCACTGATGACAATGGTGGGTGTGTCGCTCAATTTCTTGGATTAGTTGAAGTTAGACATTAACACTAATGGATGCCGGCCGGCTCACTGGTCTAGTGGTTAGGCGCTCGCGCGCGAGACTGATAGGTCATGGGTTGGAATCTCACGGAAGGTGGGATCGTGGATGAGCACTGCTGAGCAGTCCATTACTAGGACAAAACGGCCGTCTAGTGAGATCAGGTTTCTCATTGTGGTTTAGCTTCAACTGACTCATGATCTCAACCATTGGAAGTGACTAATTCCGTATAGAAATATTGATTGACTTTGGTTGAATTACTATCGAGGGCCAGAAAGCAATGGACACTTGTTTTATCCCAGTATTGGACTCCTCAGCGGTAGACACCTAAGACCTATGACCTTGAGGCTTCACAGGGAGCGCCACACGTCTTTTAATAACAATGTCATTTGGTAACCAATAACTAAACCGAAGATCCTTGGTTCAATCATTAGAGGAGTTATAGATAGACCGAAATAGCTGTTTAGTACTTCCTGGTTTCCAATGGTTGTCTAATTAAAGTTATTCAGTGATATGAAACTACAAACGACACATTAAATGTCTTATATATTATATTTTATTAATAAACTTCCATTCTATAAGAGACGGAAAAACATTATGTATCATTACAAAATCAGAGAGGATCATAAAATGCCAGACAACTAGTTCATCATTCATTGTTTTGAGCCTCTTTCTAGTACGCAGTCACTCATTAAATAACATTTTCAAACCATAATCTATCCGATTACTGCTTATACTTTTATTACCTCTACCACTACGGGATTTGAATCGACAATTGAATCTCTGTGCTAATGTGGTATGACAACTTGAACTGATGTACGTACGTATGTACGAAGTACTACGTTGTTACTGACCGACTGACTAACTGACTGAGAATACAGTGATTATCATATTCATTTTGAATTAATTTTACAAGTAGACAAATTTCTTATTCATTCTTATTCATTAACTGTTTACAAACAATGTGGATTTACACTTGTATATATGTAAGATAATAAGATATACACATACACATATTCATATATAAATAAACCATTTATCAACTCATGGATTGTCAATAGAATTTTAAGTGAATATTTATTGAAATTAAATGTAAATTATGTGCAAAATTTAATTTTCGCTCTATTTCTTTGTTGTTGTTGTTGTTGTTTTAAACTGTTGTGGTGAACGAGAACAGAAGTGAGGACAATCGAATGTATTTGAACATAAAATTACGGAAAATTTGACTAAAATCTGAGAACCATCGAATGAATATTTCATTTGTCTAAAACTTGATTGTTCTTTTTTTTGGCAAATCTCAGACAATCGTCTAAGATTTCATTGTTCTTACATTTCCAAAACTAATCGCTTTCTGGTCCTATTCTTTCCTCTAGGAATGATCATATAAACTTAATTGATCTAATCTAATTAGTATTATAACTATCTTAAATATATACAGTATACTTATATGTTCTGTGATAATATTCAGACTATAGTAAACATGATAAGAATAAACGATATACAGTTGTAAATAGATTGTTTTACATTTACATAAAAATGAATGATTGTGAGGCCCATTATTTTGTCATCATTTAAATTGGACGATGTTTGTTGACGAGCTCTCCACTTTAGTGGCGCGAAATCTGACTCTAATTTGATCTTATGAATGATCGCTGTCGAAATGTATATGTCGCCTATCCTCGTATATAATCATCGACTTAAATCGCGTTAGTCAATAACGGGATTAAATAAGTCAAATAACGAGAATGGACTCTTGAATATATATATATATATATATATATATATATATATATATATATATATATATATATATATATATATATATATATATATATATATATATATATATATAGTTTATGAAGCGAATGGAATAGAACGAAGCAAAACGACGTGCAGTGGAGATGGCGGGTAAGCCAATTGTATTTAGTCAAGCTTTAATCAACATTTATAGTCACACAAACATGTGATGAATAGGATAAGAAGTGTACACATACATATGCGCTCATATAAAAAACAGTCATGATTGGTATGCGGATAATTAACAAGGTCAAAATGTGACTCAACTATGATGAATTGATTGGGCTATCTGAAAGCTTGATAAGGTATATAAGCTTAGCACAATGAGCGACACTACATGATAATCACTTTTTTGATGGAGTTTTTTTC